CTCTCTCTCTCTCTCTCTCGCTCTCTCTCTCTCAAAACTCTGCATTTGAACAGTCAATAGCAAATACTTAAACTAATAACAAAACAGTAGCTGATTCAGAAGCGCCAGATTGCATAAAATGCATTGCTGTTCTGTTGTAAGTAATCTTAAAGATTCCTAAATGCATGTACTTTCAGATGGCCAAATAAAGTGCTTTTGCTTTCGCACTGAAACACACAGCGTCTCCTTGACATGGCTGCTACTAACTGCGGTTACTGAAACCACGCCTTCTTTCTTTGCATGAACATTTGGGCGGCATTACGCAAATATTTCCACATAGTGAGGTAGATATGTGATACGTGTTGGAACGAGCCGTTTTAGGGGGGCGTGGCAGAGTCTTAACTTTGATAAAGAATATCTCTTTGGTTTTGAGACTTTAGTCTTTGCAACTTCAGGGATCTTATCTATGCACAATCAGCTTGTAACACTCCAAAGAGAAAGGAAAACTTAAAATCGCATCATATGACCCCTTTAAATAAGAGAAGTTAAACAATAATTAGATCGTGCTGTGTAAAAGTGTTGTGTAAAAACAATAGTCAGGTCATTGGCGCCCTCTGCAGGCATTTGATATAATACATAATGTACATAAGTTATTATTATATTGTTTTATTACATTATGTATTATGATTACTTGCTTTTGATATTTTTTATCTGAAACAATTATTATTGCCTTATTGCTATTATTTTAAGTCGTTTTAAAGTCTATTGTTTGCTTAGGTCTATTTTTATTACCACAAAAATTTATCTGAATACTTAATTTATCATCAGAATAATCGAGTGATTATTCTATTACCAAAATAATTGTTAGTGACAGCTCTATTCATTACTGTACTTAAATGATACCTTTACTATCATACATTGTTCCAGACCATTTAATTAAATGTGTGACTGTTAACAACAACAAAAACACCTGGAATTGCTAGTGTCGTCTCACATAGCCAAACCTTTGAGTTACGCCATAAAGTCTGAGCTCTCTCCGCTAGCGACCAATCACAGTTTGTTTTGTTCAACGAACGTAGAAACATTGGTTGTTCATTCAAGATCGGCATGCAAATTAAAGCAAATAAAAAACAGGTGAATCAAACACAAATCTGACGTGAAGAGCTTAGCGATGCTCATTTCCCAACTGACAACTGTTTACTTGTAAGATTAGAATATTAAATTAGTATTAAATAAAAACAGAATGGGCAAATGTCTGTGACCCATAAAAAATACAAACACATATACATATTTAATGGGTTTATTTTAACATGTGCAAATAGAAGCATACAGAATAACAGAGCAACAGCAAAACCTGGATTCACACGTTGTCAAATTATCACGTGGATGCAGCTCTTCTGAGATCAGAGAAAAACTGAATAAAATAATTTAAATAAAAAAAATAAGGATACACTAAATATGTTCACTTAATTTGCAAATTAAGTTGACAAAATGAAAACACATACCATATCTGTCTACCTGAGCTGCTGTATTTTATTATGCCTTTTATACAGCATTGCATCTTCACATAGAATACAGAAGGAGAACAGGCTCTTCACTTGACAGTATGTGTGTGTCCAGGTGCTGATGGCACAAAAGAAGAGACAACGAGATCAGAGATGGCGAAAGGTGAAAGTGAACAGTCCATTATTGTTGAAGATACTGCTATAAGTCAAGCGATTGGAGGGCCACGTGGGGCTGATGGGAGAATCAGAGACAGACAGGGCAAGAGCCTTGTAGTCCGTAACACCGGTACTGAACATACTGGAGTTTGTACACATGGTGAGTAGTTGTCTTTTATTTAATCTTTATCCACTGTCTGCTCTATTTATAGAAGTCCAGCCGTACAGTGACAAACAGGAAAATAATATTTAAACGACTCGACAGAATTCAATTCTGCTGTAAAGTAGCTCTAAAAAAAGAAAGAGAGTGTTCATTTACTCTAAGTGCAAATATCCGAGGCAATTTTAATGCGATCGACCAGAGTTCGAATCCACCTTTTGCCAAACTTGTTCTTTTCCTTGTCCCATCACATATCAGATCGGAAAGGCATTTATTTTCAATTAATAATAAAGTGTTTATCGGGTAGGTGTAGGGAGGGCTTTATTGTCCCAATAAAGCGTTATCCATTTAATAATTGTAATAAAAATTATTTACACTCAATATGTTATTGCATACTGTTTTATAATGTACTACAATACTGAGGTATAAATATCTGCCACTTTGCTAAAGAAAATACTGCTATTTTGGTGTCAATAGAATTTATCATTATTTGCACTTGCTTAGTGTAACTAGAATATATTGCTTTTTGCACTTAGGCCGTGTGTCCACTCATCATGCTGCTGGGGTTTTAAAAAATGTGACGTTCCCATTGGAAACAGTTGAAAAAATATGCTAGCCTCGGGGGGGAATATATATATATATTACACTATGATCTGTTCATATATCCAAAAATATGAATGCAAACTGCCAAATAATCAGAAATGAATGTAAGTGAATGAAAGTGTGTTTGTCCTGAGAGAAATGGGCAAGTTGTAAATCTTTTAATGCCTCAAAAGATCAATGTGAATTTTACTTTTAAGTTTGCATGCTGGAAGGTGCATGACTTGAGTTCACAAACATAATGTTCACTTGTGAGAAAAGAGCAAGTGCTCAAACAAGATTTACAGGGATAGTTCACCCAAAAAAGAAAAATTCTGTCATCATTTACTAACCCTCATGTCGTTCCAAACCTGTATGAATTGCTTTCTTATGTTGAACATAAAAGAAGATATTTTGAAGATTGCTGGTAATCAAACAGTTGGTGGTTGCCAATTTTCATTTTTGGGTGAACTATCCCTTTAACTTATAAAATGAGTCAGAAGTGCTAATGACAATGTGTTATTGAAATGGTTTTGTACATTTTATTTCTAATGGTAATTTGATGGTAAATTATTGACATTCATTATGATTTCTTAGAAACGACTACAGACTTGATCTCCAGATCTTCTCTCTTTAAAATTTCTGAGTGTTTTCTTTCAGAATCAACAGGAAAAGGAGTGAATGAAGAAACATCTGTTATTAGTGAATGAGCAACAGAAGAAGAGTTCAGTTTAATGGTATAAACATGCACATATTACAGTCTCCACTATTATTTTATTGTTGTTCCGTCTCTTTAGTTTTATTTTCTACTGGGAAACAGCAACCAGGGCCAGTGTTGCCACCTTTTAGAAAAACTGATTAGTGCAAGTCAATGCGCAGGTGTACAAACTAATACACTAATAACAATATAAAACACTACAATCTGATAAGCTGTTGAGTTAATGAATGTTAATCACATTAGAGCTTCAGTTTCGTGACACTGCTTACCAATGTTTGTTCTAGCAAAAGCACATTAAACCGCAGCATGTTCTGTTATTTTAGAATGTGGACAGTTCCAACAAGGGGCAGTTATCATGGTTTATTCCTTGAATCAGGAATGAGCTACAGTTACAATCCTTCAATTAGGAATGAGGTACAGTAATGACATTCATACTGCATATTCATATTGCAATACAGTATTTATTTGTATAGTGCTTTTTACCATACGTTGTTACAGAGCAGATTTACAAAGAACAGAGCTTTACACTGCATTTCTGGATCTGATGTCATAAACTACAAAAGCAACAGCAGCCACACCCACCAGAACAGTGATGGCCAATCGGATCACAGCTTCAGTAACACCACAGCAGTGAATTTCTGAAGGAGAAAATTAGGACTTCAGTTAGGTTGCTAAAGGAGGGTCATTTGTTTTGAGTGTTTTATTTATTAAATTTTTTATTACTGGAATTTATACCAGGTACCAAACAAATGCTAATATCAACACTGACGTACCTGAACATGTGTGACAGAATTTGCTGATGTCCAGGTGTTGAGTCTGGTTGCTGATGGGATTGTTGAGCACACAGCTGTAGGTGTTTTTATCCTGATATTCCACCTCCAGATGTAAAGAGACACTGCTGATTAGATGAGACACACTGATGCTGGACAATAAACTGTTTCCTTTGTACCAGGAGAGAGTCACATGACCCACATTCACCACTGAACACAGCAGTGAACAATAGGATGATGATGATGAAGAACATTGTGAAGAGTCTCTGGTGATGACAGGAATGAGCAGATGAGCTGGAGAATACACAGAAATTATTTAAAAATTAAGACATCTCAGAAAAAATGGCAGAAAATCCATTTAGGATGGATTAATCCTAAAAAAAAAAAATCTGGAATCTGGGGAAAATTGTGCTTCTACAACAACCGAAACATTAGATGAATAACAATAACAATACATAGAAATAGAGAAGCAGATAAGACTAGTGGTGGTGCCGATTCTATTCCTCCTCTGACTGCAGAGGAAGAGAAAGTTTTGGCCATTCTGGGGCCTGAGGCATTGAAAGGGATGACCTTTACTGTTAGAGCTTTTGAAGAACATGCTGTCATTCCCCAGAACTTATTACACATAAATTATTAAAAAAATTAAGACATCTCAGAAAAAATGGCAGAAAACCCATTTAGGATGGATTAATCCTAAACAAAAAAAAAATCTGGAATCTGGGGAATATTATGCTTCTACAACAACCGAAACATTAGATGAATAACAATAACAATACATAGAAATAGAGAAGCAGATAAGACTAGTGGTGGTGCCGATTCTATTCCTCCTCTGACTGCAGAGGAAGAGAAAGTTTTGGCCATTCTGGGGCCTGAGGCATTGAAAGGGATGACCTTTACTGTTAGAGCTTTTGAAGAACATGCTGTCATTCCCCAGAACTTATTACACATAAATTATTAAAAAAATTAAGACATCTCAGAAAAAATGGCAGAAAACCCATTTAGGATGGATTAATCCTAAACAAAAAAAAAATCTGGAATCTGGGGAATTTATGCTTCTACAACAACCGAAACATTAGATGAATAACAATAACAATACATATAGCATATACAATATATTATACATATTTAACAATACTAACAGATACATTAGGTACATGTTTGTTCCCCCAACTAAGACCTAATAAATCTACTTCCAATCAACTTTTAAATTATAAGTATTTTAATATTATGATTTTGCATCAATAAAAGAGTCTGAAATGGACAAGTTACTTACAATAGACAGTAACATTGAATTTCTTGACTCGGGCCCCTGGCCCTCCCTTGATGTTTAGTTCATAGAGTCCAGAATCCGTGGTTCTGATGTTCATGATGGTCAGAGATCCGGTCTGATGATCCAGCTTCAGTCTGTCTCTGAATCGTCCTTCAGTACCATTAAATAATGAGACCTCATTGTCATCTAAGAGAGCTATGAGAACACCTTGATCTCCAAACTTCCACAGTATCTTATTTCTCTGTGTTACAGTAACATCAGTGTTTAGTGTGACAGATTCTCCCTCCATCACTAACACTGACTTTATTTCATCTGTCTCAACTCCAAACACACCTGCAGAAAAAAAAAATTACAAATGAAAAATACCTGAGAGAAAAGAGCACTAAGCACTACTTAAATTTGTAGTTATATTATTAATTAATAATATATATTTTTTTATTTAAATAGCTATTTTTAAATAGTATTTTTT